CCATTTATTCTTACCTTGAGATTCTTAATGAGAGAGTTGAGACTCTTGAGCTTCCGGTGAGGCCACCGGTAAATTCCAAGTTCTCTGCAACGCTTCTTCAACACGGTAAGTCCAACGTTCAATTCTTTAGCGGCTTTCATGATTGGTCTATCGAAGAACTTTCTAATCTCAGACAACTCCAGTTTGTCCTGTCTCTTTGTCTTCTTGACGTTCCTCTTCTTCTTAGGTGTTCTCTTTTCACGTCTCACGTTGGAACTCAAACATTCGTTGTTTTGGATAGGCAATGGTGAAGCTGATCCACTTGAGAAATAGGGTTCTTGAGTTACCATGAGAACATCAGATGAAATGTTATTGTTCACGTCCATGTTTCCGAAGAAATCTTCAAAACCATCGAACTGAAACTCAAAGTCCAACCCCGAATTTGGTTTAAAGTCATTTGTATCTAGCAGAGACTCTAACGGAGGCAACCTGTAGACCGAAAACGATTAAGAGAGAGAGAAAGATAACTTGTTTAGCAAGAAAACGATTTTTAGGGTTTTGAACTTACTTTTCGAGCATTTCGTATAACAACGAATCTGGATCATAAGGGTTTTCGATTTTCGGAGAAGTGAGTTGAGGAAGAGAGTTTGGATCCATTTGTTCAAAAGACTGTGATAGAAACAGAGAAGAATTGTTACAACAACGACAACAAAACAGAGGAAAGTATATACGAACTCATAATATATTCAATGTGAAAATGATTAATGTTCATAGTGAATTGTGTGCAATGTAATGGGAGTTATGAGTCCCAAAGGGTATAATCATTAATTATCTGAAAAGATTACGGTGTGATTTTAAATTAATCGTGTGATCATGGGGGCTGAATTCTGTGGATTAGTTGCTTCTTTAATTAAAGGGCTTTTATGATGCTGAGGATCATATTCTTCTTCTTCTAGTCAAAGTCAATGCATGAAAGTAGATAAGATCTAATTTGCTCAAAATTCACAAATCGATAATTAATGAATGGAGTTTTTTTTGTGTGTTTCGTTATTAGATGATGCATGTGGTACATGTTATGAAGATAGTTACATTTGGTGTGAAATAGGAGTCAGAGTGAATGCTAATTATATAATTCACTTCGTAAATTTAC